TGTTTTCCTAGGGGCTCATTTCTATTAAAAATTGGAAAAAAATTTTGACAAAGTTCTGAAAATCTTTGACTGCCTTCGGAACGAAGTTTTGGTTTTTGAATTTATCCGTTATTCCAGGCGGCAAATATTTTTCAACCAGTTTAACAGAGCGAGTTTTCCACGTATGATTTTCTGAAGCATTTGTGTAATAATCTTTCACTTATCAACAACTAATTTATACGTCAACAATTATTAGCAAATGGATACAGGTTTATCTAAAAGTTTGCCTTAAATGACAGACGGTTCGACCACCCTTGTCAATTCCAAATCTAAAAATACTACGTATTTACGTCCCGAATAGCCATAAGAACGAATTAAAGCAAACAATCTATTTTTATATCGTAAACGTGAACCATTATATTTCTCTTAGTGGGACATCTTCACGACACCATAAATACTACTCGCACATACATTACGCCTTCCTCAAGCCGCAACTCAAACCCCTTTTATCTGTAAGCTATCGTGAGCGTCGAAAAAATCGATTCGTTCAGTATTCTGGACGGTGTCGATTCTAAACCACATAGAAATGATCTTATTTGACAGACGGATACAATCTGTTGATCCGAAAAAAGAATGTGTTCACGGTAATCCGTGCTCTGGTTCTTAACATCGAAAGCGCCTTTCTAAATGAGGCCGCATCTGTAGGTGGGTTTATCCGATTTCGTAAAGAATCCCAAGTTATTAAATTCCGAAATCGTATATATGACATTTGAAAATGGTCGCGCGAAAAGCGTAACTTTTAGAGTTTTCCTCGCGAATGTGCATGTCGCGAGGACGTTAGATTTAAACGTATTTCCGACAAGAATTGTTTTTGAAAAGCAATTTGCAACACAATTTAGGAAATGGGCTTAATTATATGTTTTGCAAATGACTCGCAGATATACTTTCGCTTGGTCCCTTTTACTTTCCGGCGCTTTCGGTTCATGGGAATACAGTTTGTGTAAGGCACCGAAATGAATTTAGAAAATGGAATTTGATGTAAAGAACTAACACGCTTTTGGGTTTATAATTTGTATTACTCTCTGTCTGTCCGTCTATCTGAGATTCGTGTGCTTTAAAAATTGGTACGTTCTTAAGGATATAAGAAAGGTCGTTGTTGTTTTAGAGCTACTTAATCTCATGGGGCCAAAAAGTTAAAGCCCAAAAACGATATCAAGGATTGTTCTGTACTCTGTTGAATCGGATTTTTTTCATATCGATTGAAAGGAAGGTCTAAGTTAGTTACATTTTACATGATGTGAATTTCGTTTGGCAATCCAAACAGAACTTCCCTAAAATGATGATAAATTTTCATTGGTTAAAGTTGATCGGTGATCAGGAAAATGTCTTACTCACTAATCAAAATTGATTGAATTAAATAAATAATAAATAAATTTATGTGTCAAATCCTACTAAAAACACAAATTTTACCCTATTCCCCGATTAATAAAAATTACTTCAGGTTTTTTTCTCTATAATATAAATCATAAAATTAATTAATACATTGTTCGTTAAATACGGAAAAAGATAACTGCAAAGGGTTGCCGTTACTATCTCGACAGCTATAATGAGAAGTATTTAAGAACTTTCTCACATAATAGTTGTCCACCAAACGTAGTTCCCTTCATGAACTGTGTGCAAGTAAAGCTCAAAGTTTACGCCCATATTACTGCGAAAATGTCGTTCTTTTACATAAAAAAACCACCCACATCGGTATCATAACTAACTGTCACTGGAGGCAGGATGAGCGCGGCAATAAAATGCAAGATGAAAGGTTTTATGTAAAGGAATAAAAGGCAAAATAAATCGCATAAATACAATATTGCACGTTGCAAAACAGGAAACGATTCATTTTCGAAATGATATTTTGAATAGCTTTAGGCTATAAAATACACGTAAATTACACAAAAATGGCACCATATTGGTTCATAAAAGTACGAACATTCCGATTTTGATTGCTGTTAATTTGAATATCATAAATACCCTAGCGAGAAATGACGCGACTTTCGTCTACGTTATTCCCATGACAGATTTTTACAGCTGCGGATTTCTTTTCGCAATATTATGCACTCCATAAAGGTTTAAATTGCAGGACATTCCTTTATTGTTGTTTCTTGGACATTGGCGCTGAATTAGGAGGTGCGAAACTAATTACTAATCAGTCACAGGAGATCTCCTTCATACACAAGGCAAAATCCAGCAATTCGTCCGTTGCTCATTCATTACTGTCCATCAATTACAACAAAAGAAAGAGAAACCACTCCAAAGAGAGATAAATGGTGAAGCCAATACAATAATCCCTGCTCACAGATAAGAGGAAAGTCATTAAAGGTAATGCTGTACCAAAAAAAAATTTTTATATAAACTGGCGTACATAACTCAATAAAATATGTCATATTTATCATTAAAATTTGAGTGTAAGGAATGCGACAGCTATAACACTTGGAGCAAATTTACTACAGGAACAACTTACAACTAAAACTAGTGAATTACAAAGAAGATACCTAGATGGCGTCAGAATATTGAATAACGAGGGTCAGAATTTAAATATGAGCACAAATCAAAGCGGAATTTCAATCAGGAATATGTGTGTGACACTGTTTGCATAACTTTTTAAAGAAGAAAGTTAATTAAAAATACATTTGAAGCAATAAAAAAGTACTAATGATTCTGTAACTGAAAAATTATGACTTGGGAATATTTGTACACGTTTAAGGGTGGGTGTGATACTTTTTGGATAGATTCTCAGTTAAAAAAATTAGTTGAACATGCATTTGAAGCAATAAACGTGGAAGTATCGTGCACTAACTGAAGGATTGTCACTTGTGAATTCTTGTGTAGGCTTAGGGGTGGGTGTCACACCTTTGGATAACTTTTTAAAGAAGAAAGGTGGTTAAAAATTCATTTGAAGCTAGAAACATGCACCTTATGGTGCATTAACTGAAGGATTATCATTTGTGAATTTTCGTACAGACTGATCGATGGACGTGACTCTTTTTGCATAACTTTTTAATGAAGAAAGTTAATTAAAAATACATTTGAAGCAACAAAAAAGCACTAATGATGCCCTAACTGAAGAATTATCGCTTGGGAATATTTGTACACGTTTAGGGGTGGGTGTAACACTTCTTGGATAAATTTTCAGTTAAAAAAACTAATTTAAAATGCATTTGAAGCAGTAAACGAGCAAGTATCGTGCACTAACTGAAGGATTATCACTTGTGAATTCTTGTGCAGGGCTAGGGGGTGTATGTCACACCTTTGGATATCTTTTTAAAGAAGAATGTTCGTTAGAAATGCATTTGAAGCTATAAGCATGCACTTTTTGGTGCATTAGCTGAAGGATTATCACTTGTGAGGGGTGGATGTGGCTCTTTTTGCATAACTTTTTAATTAAGAAAGTTAATTAAAAATTTATTTGAAGCAATAAAAAATCACTAATGATGCACTAAATGTAAGATTATCACTTGTGAATATTTGTACGCGTTTAGGGGTGGGTGTGACACCTTTTGGATAAATTTGTAGTAAAAAAAATTAGTTCAAATGCATTTGAAGCAATAAACATGCATTAACTGAAGGATTATCAATTGTGATTTTATGCACGGGCTTAGAGGTGGGTGTGGCACTTTTTAATAAGAAAGTCAATTAAAAATTCGTTTGAAGCAATAAACATGGTCTTATATGGTGCACTAACTGCAGGATTACTACTTGTAGGAGTGTTGTACAATCTGAGGGTGGGTATGACTCTTTTAATGAAGAAATAAGTTATTTAAAAATGCATATGAAGTAAGAAAAATGCACTTATGGTGCACTAATTGAGGGGATATTAGTTGTGAATTTATGTAGTCTTAGGGATGGGTGTTACTCTTTTTAGATAACTTTTTAATGAATAAGATTAGTTAAAAATGCATTAGAAAAGCACTTATAGTGCACGAATTGAAGGGCTATCACTTGTGATATTTGTACAGGTTTAGGGGCAGACGTGATTTCTATTAGATAACTTTTTAAGGAAGAAAGTTAATTAATCATTATTTAAAGCAATAATCATGCGCTAATGGTGCACTAATTAAAGGATTATTAGTTGTGGATTTCTTAAAAACCCTCAATTTTCCATATATGGATGTACAAACTGTCCTCATTTTAAAATGTGAAACCATTGGAGAACACAAAAAAGGTTTGTATTTTCGAAACTGGGAGCTATCAAGGATTTCTGAGCACCCTGTAATCATTCTAGGGATCCCCCGCAGCCGGAACTGCTGTCGTGACTTACCCTATATTTACAGTTGGCAACTCTGAAAAAAAAATCATAAATTGCGTGCTTTTTGAAATCAGTACTCTATGTAAGTTTCTACTTGCGTTCACTTATTCTCTTACTATCAATATTATTTTGTTTGATATTTGATTCTGTATTGTTTTCTAGTTATTTCTTCAAGTTCTGTCATTTTTTTCAATTTTGATTTTTCTGTTTGGTTCCGTACCTTGTATTTTTCAGCTAAATGCCACATTTTAAATCCTCCCATCCAAGTGGTTCTATTTACTAATTAAAAGGAACTCTAACAACTACCAGTGGTTACGAAACAATGCTGATGCTACGAAATTTTTTCATACTTTATTAGAGTTGGACAATCCAACAATCTCATTGAACTTTAGAATTCAATTATTTAATAACGGTCCATCGAGGAATAATTTACCTCAAGCCCTATTCCTTTATTTTTGGGTTTTCTAGTGCAGCACAAACTAATTGTTACTGTTATTATACGGATCCTGGTTTAGAGCGCCCTATTTTCCCATTTTCTTTGTAGATCGCCCACAGCGGTCGCGGTTTTGTTCGCAAACGCTCGCTGAAAATAAACGATACCCTCGCAATTGTAAAAGGACGAACTTCCATTGCGCCAATGTTAATCGCCTTATGTAACAACATTCATTACGCGAGATGTGCCCGGCAATATAATGATTTACAGGGTGTTTATTTCCTTTTGCAGAGAATGGGGACCGTTCACGGGGAGGAGCTGCCCTACGTCTTCGGTGCGCCGCTAATCGACGGCTTTAGCCACTTTCCAAGGAACTATACGAAATTTGAGTTATCACTTGCGGAAGCTGTTATTATCTACATCGCTAATTTCGCACGGACTGGGTAAGTGGACAAGTTCGGAAACTTTAGGTGACAATATGTTTAGTTACGGTGCAGCAATAAAGTTCTCTCGTTATTATTAGCGGGTCGGTTCAACTTCTTGGTCAACTTTACAGTTGATTGGCTTTACAATGGCGTCATAAGGTATTAAGAATCGATCGCTGATTGTGAAGTTTGAATCATTACGCAAAGTTTCGATATTCGCAAGTTTATGGTGGTTGTAAAACTGAAGGTGCGGTAAAGGTAAATTAGAAGTTGCGCACTTAAAATTAATGCTTTAGGAACAATAACTAAATTACATTGTTTTGCTTTTGATATTAATTTATAATGGGCTGTTTAGCGAGTAATTATATATGGTTAACTTCATTTGCCGCTTTCAATGGAAAAGTTTCATAAAAGTATACAGGCCAATGCCAGCAAACATGCCGCATTGCTATAAGACTGCATGTTCATATTTTTTAGAAGTTTTAGATATTTGAAGTAATGAGAGAAAAATGTGTACTCGAACTAAGCGAAGCAAAATTGAGTAGTGCTTCTGCGCTAAATTCTCAATCAACGCAAATAAGCAAGTTTAATAATACAAAATCAAGCAATAACATAATGCTAATCATAAATTATGGTACGTTTGCGCTGGAAATTTTGAGAAATTGCCAAATAGGGCGGAGATGGTTTAACTTGGCAGAACATCCAATTTGCGTTGGCATTGTTCATTTACACGGTTCAAGAAATCTCGATTCATAGAGGACTTGAATAAATTTACTTTATGCTAATCCTCCCCGTGCATTTCAATACTGCCACTATTACTCGATACTAAATTATTGATTCTAAACTGCCGAAGATTATCAATATTCACACTTAGTTCAATACGTAATTTGATATTCATTACGATGTCAGCCTGCCAAATGCTCGAATAAAATAGTTGTACTATACGGCGTCATCTGTAATTTAATTAATTATGGAATTTCATTAGCGATGTGATTTGCAAGTGAATTACACGATTCATGCATTTGATATTGTTACTGTGTATGTAGATTTGCTGAAAAATGATAGTTTCGTCATACGTTTCAGTTTTCAATTAAAGTTTGATTGGAATCAATTGGATAATCACGGATGAAGTTCGAATAGTATGTAAATAGGAATTTCAGTTTAACCGTTTTTAATATGCTTTTGCTTTTTTACCACTTTAAAGTTCGAAATCAGCGTTGAGCACTTAATCCGATAATTTATCGATCGACGTTTTCAGTTTGGTGAAATGAAATGAAAAATGAGATTAATTGTAGACATTTTTTTTGCAAAATGGGGTGATAATTTAGTCCTTAGTTCACCAATTTCGTGCGTGTTTTTCCTCTTACATTAATGTAGTACTAATTATTGATGAATAAAATACAATCTTACTCCTTTACCTCCTTAATCGTGCAAAAAAAAACTATCGGACAAATTTCCTGTAAAATAGAACTTATCTTGTAACTTTTTTGTACTCACTGAGTGTGCTTTTTAATTCATTATATCAAAGCTTGCGGCATCTTTTAAGTTACTTCATATTAATATTAAAGCCGAAAACCTACAAAATTAGGATTGGAGACATTGCAGGTTATCAAGACCAAATTGATTGGTTGAGAAAACTTGAGCTTTGCCCTTTTGCAATGAACGACCCAAACTCAAACAACGGTAAAACCAATATTTGTGTCAAAGCTCAAAATATGGAAACAACACGTTAATTATTGAAAGCAGACATGAAATTTCATGCAACCTGTGCACACAATTATATTATAAACTTGCTGTTTGTTTGTTTGCCGGCGGCACAGTTTGAATGGCCTAATTGCGCGGACGGAATAGCACTACGTCAACGAAAGCAGTCGTATAACCAAAAAAATGGCAAGAATATCTGTGGCGGATAATCCTTGAATAATTATTTGGAATATATTAGCCAAATTTATGCTTATTCAATGACTAATTTCCATATTACCTAATCCGCAAATTTTAATTTTTACACTAAACAACCTCAAAAATTGCATTCCATCAGCGTCATTCCATTTATTTACTTGCGAGAATTTTCTCATCACAAAATGTTTTTCTTTATTCCTTCAAAATATCTTCATATTTTCGTCTTATTTCCCCAATTTCCTTTCATTAACAAAGGATTGTCTGAATTACTATGGACTGCTCCCATTCATTTTTGTTATTGCAATAACTGTTGCTTTCTATACTGATGAATTCGAACGAAACAAACGGGCGCATTATTGACGTAATTAAGTATCACGTTGATCTACCCCTTGGAATCTTCTGAATATAATTTGATGCACGAGAATTTAAAAAGAATCGGGCTCGTTAAGACGTGGTCGTCATAAACAATTTTTTTCAAATACACATGAGCCATTCAATATGAAATCGACGATGGCGGTATGATTTTAAGTTTGAATAAATTAAGAGTAACACCTGCTTTATAATAATCCCGTGCAAGAGCCCAAATAGCACAAGTACGTACATGGCAAATACATAGTACGTACAGCACTGGATTTACGGACGTACATTTCACGTACACTTAGGGTTCAGGGTCGTACATCTCACGTACATGGTACGTTATTTTTGCACCACTTTGTGCATGCTAGGTACTCTGCCGTACGTACATTAGACTTACTGGTATGTATGTATAATGTACTTATTTTTGTTCACGTACATAATAAGTACGTACTAGCACGTACAAAGTAGTGCGAAAATAACGTACAATGTGCGTAAAATGTACGTTCATGTTAGTTATAGAGTTATAATCTATGATCGTACACAAATGTACGTACATAAGACGTACAAATTTCTCCCTTGGACGTATCTACGTACCTTGGACAATGTGTGCTATATGGAACCATTGGAGCAGTGTTCATCTGCTTCAATAAACATAACTAGATCCAGACGCAACCACACAATTTTCTAGCAGCAAGAATCTGTAGAATCTACAGTAGGTTAATTGCTCAAAAGTGTGTGTTTGGAGAGGGCGGGGGAGGGATTTCATGAATCGAAAGCTTTGATTTCGAATTTCTGGTGCTTTTTCAAACAGTTCTCTATTTGTAGAAAAGTCTCGAGGAAAATTATCTTCAAATCTCTTTGACTTTGATATCAACTTGTGATCCTAAATGCTCTCTTTTATTAAATTACAGAAATCCGAACGATCACAGCAAACAAGAATCGGGACTGGCCGCGTCAAGGGAGAAGAATCGGTTTCGATCAATCGTCTGGGATGAGTACGACGCGGTGCATCAGAAATACTTGGAAATTGGTAAGTATCCAGTAAATTTCCCACAAGCCTTTAGGTTGTCATGAGCCGCTTTTGGGATTATTTTTAATTTTTTAAGGATAGTTTTAGAGTAATTTCCAGTAAATATTTATGTTGCGATAACAAATTTTACCCAAAATCATCATGCAACCTTCATTTTCATGCCTACCTTATATCAGGAAATGTTAGTTTCCATGACCAGCCGCCTATCACTTTACCGGTCGCACCTGCCACATTGGTAATGTCTGTAATGACTCCTATCATCACTGACAGATTGACATTAAGCAAAAGTTCTATATGAAAATTGAAATAATATATTAAAAAAGACGGTGTTGTGTAAAATTTAATACAAAACTCGTCAGTAAAATGTCTACTTGACTCGGAAACTAAAGTACTCGGCCCCAAACAATGATTCATCTTTAAGATAATAATAGATAGTACAGAATAATGTCCATGGCCCAAATCCCATCCAGGATTGTTGTTTGGGCACATTAAATTAGTTTTGGAAGGAGGGCCTGTGGTACCTATCAGTTACAGCAATTTTAGTGTCAAAGTCTAAGTTGTTAAATTGACATTTTAATTAAGCCGCTCTTTAACCGTGAAGGTATATAAAGTGAAACTGATGATTATGCATTTTATTAAAATCTGTGATCCTTATTTCAAATGGGACGCGAAGCACCATATAAAATGACGTTCAGAACATATGGTAATGCTGCTTCTATGGAATCGTCCGCGATGGTAGATCCTAAGCTTGCTATTTTTGTCGCCTAAATTAAATTCACAACGTTTTGCAATGATTTATTTGATAGCATTTATGTTAAAATGTCATTTTTATAGGTTTAATTGAGTAGGCTAAGCCGCCCTTTAACCGTAAGGGTAGATAAAGTGAAACAGATGATTGCGCATTCTAAAGACATCTACCTATTCTTATTATTAATAATAATAATGTATATTTAGATATGGCACACGTCAAATTAGCATATGTAGATATGGATAATTTGGACTACAACAAAAAATTAAACTTAATCTAAACAGTATTAACAACACGACTTAGAAATTCATTATAATCATAAAACGCATTTTGGGTCGTGTAATGTATGGTTACTTTTCTAATTATCTTCTGTGGTAGTACATTACAGAGCTCAATTTAGGATCAACCACTAAGCTGAGATATGGGACTGCCGAAGGGTTATCAAACTCATCGCTTTTTTTGGAAAAACAACATGTTTGTAGTTTTGTTCGTATTTAAAAGTAATTCATTTGCAGCAAACCATTAAAATGCTTTCATCTGAACTAACTTTCAATTTTATGGTGGCGATGGCATCAATAACAACTGAACCTTCCAAGAGTTTATCATGGGGGAGGAGAGAGGGCAGGGGTTGAGGTTGTTCACGCGCTTTTGGTTTCCCAACCATTTTGCAAAACGCTTTTGAAATCTTCACATGCAATTTTTGTAAAATTTGGAATCTCCGGGAGATTTGCAAACCTTATAAACTTGGTGTCTTTGCAACCTTTGGCGTCCTTAGAATTTTTGGAATCCTTTCAGGGTTTCCCGTATTGTTTTTGAAATTTTTAGATTCTATTCGGAATTTTTTGATTATTATATTGATAAAATATTTGAGAGAGCCTTCAGAACCGTTAAAACCTTGAGGAGCCTTATTGTTCTTAATAACGGGCTTTTAATAATTGTTGTGATGATGGTTGAATGACAACATAACAAAATTACAAGATCAAACGAACTTACCTTAAGTGATGTTCGATCTTGATTATATGAAGGCCTCGTTGAAGTAAATAAAATTGTAGTACCTCTGCTTTCCGTTAGAAAAACCACACTTTAAAGCGAAACAAGTAGGCTCCGCATGTTTACCCGTTGTCAAGCCAACAACGCCTCAGTCTCTTTGAAAGTAGTTGTTGAATGGAAGTAAATGGGATTTAACAGCATAAATTTGGGTGGGTATGGGACTATTTACTTCAACGAGGCCTTCATATAATCAAGATCGAACATCACTTAAGGTAAGTTCGTTTGATCTTGTAATTATATTCGGCCTCGTTTCGTAAATAAAATTGTAGATGTTTAAAGATTTTGCAACAACTTTATTATAATACACGATGTTTTCGAAGAAAAACAATATCTGATTTTATCTCTAAAATACAGAAAACATTTATAGAACAATTCCAGTAACACAATTTTAAGCTATATTTAATACCGCTCTAGCAAAAACAGTATTGTCCTGCACAGGCCTGTTATAAAATCGTGCAAAGGTATTAGATTTTGATGACCATCCAGCAGCAAGTCTGATGGTATCATAGCTTACTCCGGACCTGGCTGCTTTCGAAGTCGATGCATGCCTCGTGCTTTGCGGTTTAAATTGGGATGTATCTAAACCACAATCTTTTAAGGCTTGACCTATCCATCTACCTATAGTCTGAGTTGAAGCCCGACGATGAGGCTTCTTATTGGTGATAAAGAGAGACATGCATTGACCTCTATCTTCCTTGGTCCTTTTCAGATACTCTAACAATACCCCTGCCACACTAGGTTTGGATCCGTTTTATAAAAGGGCAAAACTAATAATGGTTGCAATTTATTTACACCTGAAGTCTTTATCCTATTAGGGATTCTAATCTCAACCTTGTCATTAAGAACAACAATGTTATCAATATTAATTAAGGACAGAGTTTGAATCCTTTGACCTGTAGCAAGAGCTAATAACAGTACCAGTTTTTTCGTTAAACATGGCAGAGAAAGAGTTTTATTATTGAGAGCCCTTGCATAACCCAAGGCTATGTCCGGGTCCCATACATTTTCATATCTAGGCCTCGGTGGTCTGAGACTAAAAACACCTTTAAAAAATCTCTTTACACGAAAATCAGACGCAATTTCTGGTCCTGCTATTTGTGCAATTGCACTTCTATACGAATTCAAGGAACCAAACGAAACACCTATATTAAATTGGCAAGTCAAAAAATCTAGCAAGGCTGGAATAGTGACACAAAACGGATTAACTAACCGTGTATTACAAAATGTCCACCACAGTCTTAATCCACTGTTATATTGCTTAAGCGTCGAAGCTGTAATGGAAGCCAAGCAGATTTCTATTGTGTTTTCCGGTATGTTTTTGAGTTGAAGAGCTTTCCGGATAACTTCCCTACCACCAGGGAAAGGTGTTTTGCCATCGGATGTGGTATCCCGCTAAAAGAAAGTAATCGGTCAGAAGGTTCAAGTATTAACGGTTCTTCCGTTAGTAACGATAAAAACACAGGGTACCACGGCTGAGATACCCAGTAAGGGGCTACAACCACCCCTTCTGCTTGATCTTTAATAATTTTTTGAAGAGTCCTCAGTATTAAAGTAAAGGGAGGGAATGCATAAAAGGAAAAAACGCTCCAATTTAGAGTAAAGGCATCTACCCTGAAAGCTTCTGGATCTCTTTTCCAAGACACGAATGTCTTGCATTTTCTATTCAACCGACTAGCAAATAAATCTATATCTGGGACACCAAATCTTTTCAACACTTTTTGAAAAGCAGAATTTTCTAGAGACCATTCTGTCTCCTGGTGTTCCTGTCGAGAAGCTTTATCCGCAAAAAAATTCTCGCTTGACGATATGTAAGATGCAAAAATGTAAATATTTCGTTCTTCACACCAACCCCAAATGAGTCGAGCAATCTTGTTAAGGTTTTGAAACCTCACACTTCCCATACGATTAATTGTACCAATGGCAGTCGTGTTGTCCACCCGACATAAAATATTGCAATTATGACAACCTCGAGCAAAACATTTTAACCCAAATAAGACTGCTAAGAGCTCGAGTTCATTAATGTGATTTTCTTTCTCTGAATTGGACCAAAAACCAAAAGAGGTGTTACCATTACAGTATGCTCCCCAACCGGTCTTCGATGCATCAGTAAACAATTCTATATCGAAAGTGTCAGAACGAATAGGATTACATGAAACCGCCAGTTTACTGATCCACCAAGAGATATCTGAATGTAAGAAGGAATCTAGAGTCATCTTAGCCTCATAGTTTCCCCCAGAATGCCGTAGAGCTCGATATTTTTGTTGTTCAAACAATTTTGTATATAGGAATCCATATTTTATAGCTGGGGCTGCCGACACCAGAGATCCAATAAATTTTGAGAATTCTCGAATCTTACATTCTTGTACAGTAATGAATTGATTGGCAAGCTTAATCAATTTAAGGCGTTTATCAGATGGTAGGGATAAAGACATTGTTCTGGAATTATACACAAAACCTAAATATTTGCAAGTCTGGTTTGGTATAAGGTTACTTTTCTTGTAATTCACTAAAAAACCTAAACATTCAAGTAGTTTTACTGTTTCCGTTACGTTGCTAATACACTCGGATCGTGTTCTTCCTAACAGGAGAAAATCATCTAGATAAACAACGGAAAGTAAACCTTTCTCTCTAAGCAGACTTACAACGGGTTTTAAAATTTTTGTGAATACCCACGGTGCACAGCTCAGCCCGAAAGGTAGACAATTCCATTCGTATAACTTGCCATTGAAGCAAAAACGTAAATATTTTCTATGGCAGGGGTGAATGGGTATTAGATAATAAGCATCTTTTAGATCGACAGTGCACATAAAGATATCTGGCCTAATTAATCGAGCAACAGCAGTGTAACCCTCAATCTTAAAATGATCAACAGTAATAAAATTATTAAGATGTTTTAAATTCAAAATCAATCGATTAGATCCATCTGGCTTAGGTACAAGAAAAATGTTTGATATATATTGACCTTCCCTCGGCTCAACTATACTGATAGCCCTCCTAAGCAACAGATCTTGGATTATATTATTTACAATTTTGGATTCTTTTTGTGACCATTTTGGTTCTACAGGTACACCAAGTTGACTTGGTTTTGTATGAAAGGGAATATAAAATCCCTTGATATAGGACACTATCCTATTGTCAATACATAACGCACTCCATCTAAACGCAAACTGTCTGAGTCTTCCACAAGGACTACTAACCTCTAACGATCCCTCTGTCCTTGTTTGGATTGGAAATGTTTGTAACGTTCCTGCCTCTTCAGGGGAGTGTACGCTGGTGCTCTGGTTTGGGTGTAGGGAGTTCGGTAACTTTGTCTCAATTGTTGCACTCCCTTCTTCTGCAACAACGGACGTTTTGCGTTTCCCTGTTTCGAAGGTAAAGACGGTCCAGAAAATGTACGCTTCTTAGGTACCTTTAATTGATTTGCAGATTTTTCCAAATCTTTTGCGGCTTTTATGCTACTGTCTAATTCACTTCCAAATAACCACTCGGTTATGCAAGTGTTTTTTAAGGTATCCCGTAAATCCTTATTTAAATTGAGTGCAATCAGGTCCCTACGCGATATCGACTCGGTGTGGTAGATGTCACTCAGCAAACGTCCTACATCGTTCAAAACTTCGATGTACGATATGTGTTCTCCGCTTCCTTCCTTAATTAAATTTGTGACAACACAACCAACACCAGAAATCGCAGCACTTAACTGCGATTGAAGTTGACTCAATCGTATGTCTCTCCGAAATGTACCGTCTTGCACCGCAACTTTTACCTCCGGGTTAATTTTTGGAGGTAACAAATCTGGGCAGTTTTTCGGTGGAAGATACTTTTTAATTAAATTTGTTTTTATGTCTTCTGACAACCCTAATTTTAACAATTTTGTCCAGCGAGAAGCCAAGTCCGGATGGATTGAATCGGAAAAACCTTTTTCCATAATGTCATCTTCACCTAACAAAGTTAAAATAGCTGGCGGAAGCACGTCCTCAGACTCGTCTTCACGAAGCTCCTGAATTGTTTCATCTGCAACGCCAGATAAATATAAGCAACAATTCAAAACCCCCGGCCTTACACAACCAAAAACTTTAAAAGTTTGGAATGGGTATGACCGTATTAAATTATAAAAACCAATATAACAAAGACATAACTGAATTTTCAGTCGGTCTTCTAGGTAAAGACCCAATTAGTGTTGCTCTAGGCACAAGAACTCTACCACACTAGGTAGGTACCTATGTTAAAAAATTAACAAAGGCGAAATAAAACAGGTTCACATCACTCGGCGAACTAACTGTACTCACTGACAGTTAAAGGAAGGCAAAAAAGCCGACCAGTGCCTCAAGTGCCTCACTAGGCACGTTCACCTCACTCGGCGAACTAACTGTACTCACTGACAGTTAAAGGAAGGCAAAAAAGCCGACCAGTGCCTCACTAGGCACGTTCACCTCACTCGGCGAACTAACTGTACTCACTGACAGTTAAAGGAAGGCAAAACAGCCGACCAGTGCCACACAAGGCACGTTCACCTCACTCGGTGAACTAACTGTACTCACTGACAGTTAAAGGAAGGCAATAAAGCCAATAAGTGCCACACTAAGCACGTTCACCTCTCGGCGAACTAACTGTTCTCACTGACAGTTGTAAAAAGAAAACGCATTCCAACTTACTACCATTGTGTGTAAAATTTTCTATCCCGGCTGAGCAGTTCAACAATTCTGTATCTGCTACTTCCTCATTAACACCAGAAGGGCCAGGAGAAGATAAACGTGACAATCCTTCACGTACTCTTGACGGCGAAAAAGGTGACTGGCTACATTCGCTATCAGAAGGATACGGAGACGGTGATTTCCGCCGGCGTCTTCTTTGTTTTCTCTCAACCTTTTCTAGTCGTCGATCAATTTTCTTAAGCAAACTTCCAAAGACGTGCAACGCATCTGGAGAAGGGCTGCGTTTCTTTAAATGTTTCGGCATAATACCAAGTAAAAAGAACGCACTAAAAAACGACGCGTGTAGTTAAACCAACACAAAAACAAAGACTGAGGCGTTGTTGGCTTGACAACGGGTAAACATGCGGAGCCTACTTGTTTCGCTTTAAAGTGTGGTTTTTCTAACGGAAAGCAGAGGTACTACAATTTTATTTACGAAACGAGGCCGAATATAATTGTGATGACACCGCCAAATATATCAGTGTTTAGACATTTACAAAACTAACAGGAATACTATTTATAACGTATTTCTACATAATTCTCTGTAAATTCGGAATTATCTGATCTCCGTTTTGCAGTTGACCTCAAAATGTTAGTTACACGATGGTACCTTTATGGCGTTCTTCTAGAATGCCATTTTATCTTGCTTTCCAGTTATTGTGGTTTACGCATAGATTTCGACTAGTACTGTTGTGAAATGTATGGATAATAGCATTGATCTTGAGGACTGCAGATCAGATACGCAACCAAATTTTCTGTTTAGTACAGTTTTTTCCGGATTCTGACTTCAAATAAGCATTTATTTTCAGCTCAGCACGTAGGATGCTAACCGCGGGGCTATTATAGTAATACCAAATTAAGGGTTGAGACAAGGGTAGCTCGATTTGGTTGTTACAAAACACAAAAATCAATCAACATTGTATAAAAATTTAATGGCGCGAATAATACGTTTAGATATAAAAAATAGGAACACTATCTGCCTTAAAACTAAGGATCGTTTGGACAGCAAACACCAGCGAATCTAAAACACAGTGTTAGACATAAAAGACACTCAAAGCGAAGCTTACTCATTCTTCAAAACGCAAAAGTGGTCTAAAAAGTCCTGGGCTGATGTCAGCAGCAGAGGAGCTTGAGGACATGCGTGCAAAAGCGTGCAGTGTCCTTCCAAATTTGTGAGTGACTTCGAACACTTCACCTCATCGGTAATTGTCTCATTTGCGCCCACTTTGTAAGTACCTAAAGCGTATGGTTAGTGACTGTTTGTACGAAAAGAAATGTACCATTTGCCGTCTTAATTAGATCGTCATGTAAAATTTCGTTCAGCCACGGGAAGGTTGTCAAGGGGCTTTCGTCTCCGCTTTCAGGGATTGTGGTAGTCCGTACCGGTTCACTTTCCTCCCAAACTTCATCGTCGTAGCTACCAAACCTGTTAGAATACGGTACAGCGGACAACGCTAGCATCGGTCGACCCGCCTTGGAGAGGCTGGCGTAGTTTCCACTAACTAAAAACCCGTCTGTTACACGACAATCAATGTAAAGGTCACTTACTTCTTAAACCTATACTTCCGTCTTCGTCGAAGTCTGCATAAGGTTTTGCTTCTTGAGCGTTTACAGTGTCGGTATGGTTCGGCTTTACGACCACCAGAGAGCTGACAGAGGTGACAAAGGAGTATTTCAAAGCCAAATCGAGAGCTTTCTTTTTAATTTCTTCTGGCACTTCTGATATTTCCTTCTGCTCCAGTAACTGCTTGATCTTCAAGTAAGCCCATAGTCTTTCTACGTTTGAGACTGATCTCGTTACAGTCGGTTTGAGGGATATCTCGCCGTTAATTCCAAAACCGTCAACAATAGGAGTTAGGAGATCGGTTCCTACAACACCACCATCAGTTTGCTTATCAAGTAAGCATGTTAACTTACCACACCAACCGGCAACAACAATTTCCCTTCCTCCGAAATGTATAGGGAAATCCGTGGTGGTCAGGCTCGTGACAGACTCCTCGTACTTGAAAGTGACCCCTGATAGTAAAGGAGACGAAATCTCTCGGTAAAAGTGTTGGAGTTGGAGTGAAGCGTCCGAGGCCTCGTAGATTTGTCTGGAGAAGCCTTTGTTGCGAAGCGCGAAGTTTTGGAGGAAATCCTTGTCGGCACCATCGCCAAATGCAAGCGCGAAAATTGGTGCCCTGCGTGGCCCCGAATTGAGCTCGCTAATCTACAAGGTGGGGGTTAGTCGGGTAGTTTACAGTCGAAGGTGTTACTTTTGAAATAATTTCGCTGGTGCTCTTATCTGTTGGTTCTCCGTCAGTCAAAAATATCACCATTGGCTGTCGCTTGAGGCTATCATTCTGTTTTCGACCCATTTCGACTAGGTGCAAGGCCACCTCCAGCGCGCCAAACATTCCAGTTGACCCGTCGGAAACTAACTTTGCAACCGCTGCCTTGGCTTTCTTAATGTTGTCCGCGTTAGCCGGATAAGCGGGTGGAAAATCTACCTCCTAAAAAAATAATGCAGTAAAACCGTTGTGAGTTTAATGAGGCTTACCTCTAATTTTACTTCAGGCGTAGCATCGTGGAGGTAGTAGTCGTTAGTGCGAGGGTACCAAACGCTCGAGTTATCGTCGTTTAGGTCCCAGACCTTCGTGTTGCTGTTAAACTCGACCAAGTTGAGCGAATCGTGTTCGTTTAGCTGGCCCAAAATCTTGTCCATCGCCTCCCTCAATTGCTCGATTTTCTGTCCCCACATGCTACCGCTAGTGTCCAAGACAAAGACTACCTGTTTGGGTAGGGGCTTTAGATCGGATGGGGCGAAGAAGTGCACGAAGTAGCCGTCTTGAATTAGCACTTCGCCACCTTTAGGATCCCGTTCAACATCGTACTGGACAACGAACTGGCCTGCTAATCCTTTTTCAACATCGCTTCCGAAAACGTGCGCCAATTCCTTTTGTCTTTCAATGTTGGGGGCGAAACGCACAATGGCTGAGGTATCGTTGACGATTTCTATATCGGCTCTTGGGTCAAGTTCGGACTTTTCTGCGCCGATTTCATTTCCGGAGCGTAGTGGAGGCGCCTTGAGGTCAAGTATTTTTCTGCTTTCGGAGATGACAACCTGTAAACCGTAGGGTTAGCGTTTTTGTGTGGAATTTTGATGCACTTACTTCAACGCTTAGGTCTTTGACCGGCTGTCCTGGATGGATATTTATGATTTGCTCGTAGCGACTGTCTTGTCGTTCCAAAAGCTGTTCGTAGGTTAGGTAAAATGAAGCTTTTGCTTCAGCTTCGACGTTCAATGACACGCTAAATGTATTGGAATCACGTGCGCTAACTGCAACGTGGGCCGCTCCAATGCCGCTCATTACGGCCTGTAAGTACTTGTTGTATTTACAAAATTTCATTTGCGATATTCACCTCGTCGTAAATTCGTTTGGCTTCCTCCTTCTCTTTCACGTAGGCTGTATAGTTCTTACCGGCGATTTCCATGACAAACCCTGAGATAAACGCCTGTTCTGGCAGAACCACCGAGAAAACGGCCTCCTGCGCCTTGCTTCCATAATTTCTGACTCGACTGGTGATGGTGGTGTTAGCAAAACGGTTCCTAATATCTGACCTTATCCGCATTTGGTATATCTGGGGGACTGCTGGTATCGCATGAGCTTTGCCCTAGAAATTTTGTTGACATTCACTCACTTTAAGGACAATGTGTCAGTACCTCCTTATCTCCTCGTGATCCAGAAGAAGGCGCCGTTGAACTCACAACCAAAGTCTGATCATCATTCAATGGAGCACAAATAATAGGCACAACCAAAAGGAGGCCCCATAATAGAAACGCACCGAAACTCATTGTGGCGTTCAAGGCAGCACAAACACTTTCTTGAATGGCCGACACGACAATGATGTTAATGTTGTTTAATTGATAGTACTTAAATATTCGACCCGTTCGGAAAATTCACATTATCTGTGGTAATTCCCAGACAATATCGCTATAAGCGCACGCAAATATATCGGTACTGGCTCTTCGTCGTCATACAATTTTTACTCTCGACTGGTTTTTTAATGAAATTACTGCCGTAGAAGGTCGACGATGTTTAGATTATATACTCGAATTAATTAAAACTATCTTTACACTCCTTGACCCCACGGATTAGTAATGGAAGTTTCGTAACAAACTGGGTTGGCGTCGTTGAAAGTGAGGTTGAACCAAAATCTTAATTTCGCATATCACCGTGGCAGAATTCGTTCTGAATTATGTTTTAATTGGAATTTCCGGTACCTTGTCGTTACTGCGCTAATGAAATGTATGACTAATTCGGCTAATGTCAATTAAATTGAACTAGAAATATGCGCGTAATATATTTACGAAAACAATTATTAGTAATTGTATGTTTATTCTGAGGCTATTATGATAATTTGAGGCTCCTGACTTGAACTGTTACGTAGTTGAACGGTCCAGTGTGACGCAAGTTTAACGTAGAAATACCCAGGATTGTGTATTTACCTTTATTTCTTCAGTGCCAAGATGAAGACGTCTGTGTTCAAGGAATCTGTGAAGTTTTCGGAACCGTAGTTCATATCCTTTAAGGGGAAATTAATAGACATTTACGCATGGTGAGGATTTCATTAATTTCTACTATTGTTTGTCCTATTTTGCTTTCAGCTGCCCGTCATTGATCTGAATTGTTTACCTCTGGATGGTAATAGTTTTAGTACCACAAAAAAATCTGTACCGTTGGCTTCTGGAAATCTTGATAGATTGCTGACCACAAAATCAAAATATCTCCATCCAGATTGCTTTCTAAAAACTGACCAAAAGTGGCCTTACAACTCAACACTTTCATCAAACTGCAGATTGGCAAAGTGTCCGCAAGGGACGCATTGGATGAGGACGAAATAAGAATCATGACACCTTTGACCGCTTTGTCTAACGAGGTAGACCTTCAGAAGACATTTTTTCCTGTAAAGCTGACCAAAGCTATTGCTGGAAATGACTTGACGGAATAGGGAATTGAAAAGATTATAAATATAGAATGATCTGTATGGAATAGGTGGAAACGCGACGGTTTTTGAACTTAATTTCCCTTTATTGAAAATAGCACGGGTTGTTTTTTTCAGTTCTTTTTCAGTTTACAGATCAGGTACCACTGAGAATCCTAAACTAAGTATGGAACACGACCTGCTTCTCCTTAGACTCTGGTTTACCAATAACTACATGGTACTGAGTCCAAAAACCAAATATGTATATTGTGATTTTTCAGAAGACAATTGAGTATTTGATCCTTGAGTACAACGAAGGTACCTATTAATGAATACTTAGAGTTTCATACCTGATCTGATGTACTTAGCAAGCTCACCTATAATTATAAAACTACACATCAGAAACACAATTATTAATTAAACAATATTAATTTATTTAGTTCTTGCCTAATACTTTTCCCTTGAATTACAGAAGTGAATCTTTTAGACAAATTAAAAAATCTAATGCGAACATATATTAGGCACCTACAATTGCTTTAATTAATGATGCGGTGTGATTATTAGTTATAGTGGAATAGTCTATGAAATGTTCCTCCAAATGTGGAAAAAGAACTTTACCTTGCCGATAAAACTTCTGCGAAATTGCAATGATAAAAGTTTCAAAAAAATTTTCATTTTCTACCTTCAGGTGCGTCCATAAATCTTCTAATACCACCTTCTACACCAGAGCAAATTGTTGTAACACCTTTAGTGGGCATATACAGTCCCCCTGTAAATAAGATTATATAAACAAATTAAAAATGGATAGTCGTCGTCATATTCTTGTCCTATACATCCTTCTATACAATCGGGACATTTAAATCGCATCTTCAGCATTTTGATCACATAACCACTTATATGAGCGACAATGTTTGCTGTTAAATTATTAAAATCAATAGCAATTGGTAGAATGTCATAATCATGATCCCTATCTTCTTCATTTAGAGCATCCAAACCGTATCTTCGCAGTAAAGGTATATCTGGCATATTAGACCCACTCATTAACAGTGGATTGACTTGGAGTAAAAGTAAAAAGTAAAAAACAAATTACTCCAGTACATGAGACTAAGTTTTTTATTAAAGGATTTATGTTCTCCTGATTTCCTTAAAACAGTATACCCTACTACACGTTTGCCAACTAAAAATTAGAGCAAAGGCTATCAGTGTGGGGAAGAACTTACTGTACGACAATTAAACCCCTAATTACGTTACAAAAGGATAATATGAGCAGAAAGAGCATACGATTCCCTGTTTAAAAACCTTAAAATTTTGCCGGTTGGATGTTTATGTATATGTTACCGGTAAACTGCGAAATCCGGAATTTTGCAAAATCCCTAGGCATTTTGCGAAATGACCAATGCCGCAGGCAAAGTGAGAAATGGAGCTCGAGTTCGTACTTTGCCTGCTCTTCTTTAGGGATTTCGCAAAATGCCCAAACATTCAGGCAAAGTGAGAATGCTCTGCCATTTTCCACAGATTGCGGGTACAGCGGTGTCAAATGTAAACCTGTCGCGTTGGTATACCTTCCCCCATCTGATACCTATATTCTCAACGTATGGCTTTAATTTTGAAACCAAATATTGTTTACAAATATTATACTAACATATTTTTCTTGGCCATTTTAAACCAGCAAACCTACTAAGTGGAAAATTATATTCTCTTTAGTATTGATTCTATTTCTTTTACCACGCACCGATTAACCATAACAGAAGGAGTACAGATTGTAATTGCATTCAAACACCCAATACGTTAGTGTAATAATTACACTATGTACCTACACGTACACGTATGTACTTATATAAAATCGCAATCGTCGTACAATCAAATGGCAACGTTGTACGCACAATCTGTGGGAAATGACGAAGCCTGTGCACTTTGCCTGCATGTATGGGCATTTCGCGAAATCTCTAAAGAGAGGCAGGAAAAGTGCGAACTCGAGCCCCATTTCTCACTTTGCCTGCTGCATTGGTCATTTCGCGAAATGCCTAGGGATTTTGCAAAATGCCGGATTTCGCAGTTTGCCGGTAACATATATGCAAAGTGTTTTATAACACAAGTACCAAAGAATGTGCGGATATCCGGAAAAAAATTGGCACGACTAGATACAAATCAAATGTAAACGTCCCTCGGCCAAGCATTAATTACTTCAGAAATGTTTACACTTAGCACTTTAAAGTTTTACATCTGTTTACCTCTCTAAGATTGGTTGGACACTGTCCTCTGCCCTTTCCTATCATGCGCTAATCTTTTCATTTCTACAAAACTACCTTTGCCTGCGTCCTATCGCCTACCCCTCCCCTGCCCACTGCCCTGCCTTCTATAGTTAGCTGTACTAACCCTCCGTGTCTGAGCACGTGCCTTCATTCTATCTCGTCTTTTCTGTACACATTTCCCTATTTTCCTGTACTAGCTCCAAGACTGCCTCGTTTGTTACCCTGTCCACCCAACCCAGCTAATTCTCATTATCCTTCTATAGCACCACATTTCGAATGTTTGTACCCTACCTATCGGACACGTTTTTACCAGCCTTTTTCTAATTCCTATATTTATCCCGGATCTCAGTAGGTCTCCCTTTTGTTCAAATGCTTTTTTAGCTTGCGCTATCCTGGATTTTATATCTTCCTTGCTACGATTATCTTGTGTAACCTTACTACCTAAATAGCTAACTTCCTTTACATGATTTAATGTGTCTTTTCCCATTCTGATCTTTATCTTTTTCCTATCCTCTCTTTACGGGCATTTCACTTGTTGATTTTCACACCCACCGTAATATTACTTAAATATTAATAAAATATATATATATAATTTAGAAGCACCTTCTAAGTGACTATTTAGTCTAAAACGGTTTTTCTGTCGATAACATTTTTTAAGGGAAAACTTATGGGGAATGTTCGAGTTCCAAAACTGTTTCGAAGAAAATTTTCCGGGGACGAACACTCCGGGAGTGAATCTTTCGGAGACCAATTTGGTGGTGCCAGATTTTCAGGGCGAAGTTACTGCATATGCATGCACCATTCATTTTATTGTATGAATTTTAAATGCAGAAAAGTTAACTAAATTGAGTGACGTGCAAAAAAGTTACCCCCATCAGTCTCATTAATTGAAAAAATAATATTAAGGTGGTCATATTACTAGACTATTAAATAATTTGTGGTTTTTTTGTAATTTTTTAATGTTGATTCGAACTGAGGTTTTTTTTCAACTATAAATCTTTTTATTACAGGACTGTAGTCTGTTTTGATTGCATCTGAAATTCTTCAGAGTTAAAGAAAAGTCCTACATATTTTCCTATGGATACTACCAACCAGAAATTTTCAAGATTTCAAAATGATATAACCGCCTGTGAAATCCGAAGTGAAGATTAACGGTATAATTAAAAACAAGGTTAAAAAATACGATTAATTTATTGTAGTAACGTTACAAGCAGCAAAGGTCAAGTTCTTATATAGATGGTGAAAGTTTTTCTTTCTTACGCTTTCCAAAAAGGCTCTGGGTGCAGAATTTCTCACTTGCCATATACAGCTCGCTAATCGAAAGGATATACTAAATCGTGATATTAATTGGAAAAGTGCATTGTAATTGGGCTATAAATCAACGTTACTTTTAGAGCGTGAAAGTAGTAAAAATTTTATTAGAATAATCAAATTTCCCATTCGTTTCTCAGATAAAGAAATGACGTGGGCCCCTACTGTCGTTTTCTAATATCCGGCCCCCACTTTTAAAAATCCTCGAATCTTTTGATACATTCAGGTTATTCAAATGTTGTACTTGTTTTTTTCCCACTTTGTAATATTCTTTAGCTGTATAAGTGTATACAGAGTCTTTCATGAGGAATGTTTCATACGTTAATATGTTACAGATTTGCTTATTTTAAGCAGAAAAGTTACTAAAACGCATGTGCTCAGTTCTCAAAGATACACCGACACGTTCACTTCAAAGTTTCTTTCTCTTTTGGTTCCAGTAAAAAACCAAAATACCCTTAATCACCACTGGGTTCATTTTTATGCCCCAAACCCTATAAAAACGAGTTTACTCTCCTTTTTTGATTACGTACACCTACTGTTTACTCTGGTATCCAAAAACCCGACCTAATCTCGTGATTGATTTTTAAAATGAAACTAATAAAGTTTGCAACGAAGGAATTCCAAAACTTTCCCCTTTCTCGTTAACTACCAAACACAGAATGCCACCTTTACTTACTGATTCATTTTCTTCATGTCTGCACTAAATTAAATCATAAGTATGACCAAACTAAAATGATCTGATGCTCATTCAGTAGTTTTAAGTAGATAAGGCAAACTTTACTTATCGCAACATCTCGTCTCCAGACATCCGGATACCCATTATGAAAACAATGCTTTATTGAACTTAAAAGACGCAGAAAGGACAATCTTAAATTCCACCATTGGAATTCCATTTATTGGAGCCTCTAAATTTCGCCACCCTGGAAGTTTTCTATTATATATCTAACCTACTCTAATCCTCTCTCTATAGCTCTAAAAAGTAAATCCAAAGTTTAGAGCTAACGTTACGTGTCTCGCTTACGTAACTTATTGCAATTGTGGATCAATAGAATTACAACACCTGTGACGGAAGTTTTAACTAAACTCTAATACAATCAGCTTTAGAACAATCTAAGACACGAATAACCAGTCTAATGTATGCTTCTCCGTGATCTTCCACTTTATCTCATCTGCTACTAAGCGGGTACTCATTCATTCATGTACCGACCGCGATTTTTTCCAAAGATAACCCACTTCTGTGTATATAAATTTAGTACCATTATTCAAATAAATGTAACACTTTAAACGTTCCGCAAATAGTCGCTTTAAAAACCAAATCTATCACGAACAGTTTGTAGGGGATGGTAGTGGAGCTGAACGTTTGTTCATCAATATTCAAACTTTGTCGTTGCAAGATCATTTATTACATCTCTCGGCAGAGCTCCTTTCGCTTAACTGCAGCCAATTTAAACGGGCCGTTGGCTATTATGCTACCGTCAACCCGCGTCGTCTCCACATTCATACCAGAATTACACATTCTTTATACGGTATTGGTTTGGGATAAAATACAACCCTTTTTCTAGTTATTTTTATCTAATGCAGAATTTGTTTCCCTCACATAGATTAATGTCCTTGCAAGATAATCGTGAAAGTATTACCATTCAAATTGCTGTGGTGGACTTTTTCTTTGACGTCGTGCATCAGAAAGTTCTTTTAGAAACCAGGACCTTCTCTCCTCGAACATACTTCTTGTTACATCTGCAAAATGTGATTTGACAATGTCACCTGTAGTCGAATAGAAGATTTACCTCTAAGCGTGTCTAACGTTTCCCCTTCCCCGCCGTAGTCTTTTGGAAGTACTGAAGGTGGAATGTGAGCACGAAGTTCACTTATGCTCGAAGCTTTGTAAAAATGTATCTAAGAGGGTTTGTTTTCACGTTCCTCTATACAGCACTTACCCTCGACACTATTTTCACCGGTAAAATGGGCTTAAAAATATTGAACATGGTCCCTACCCCTGGAAAACAGTTGACCACGTGAATGGCTTTAATTCGCGTTGGGTACGCCTTGAAGACAACGTGTTTGAGTTCCCGAATGAACCTGGGGGATAACTGCAGAGCGTAGCCCAAAGGTAAATTTTCACAGTCTATAATTACAGTGTGGCCATTAATCATGCAAGTGGGGCTTTCGTTCATGAAAACGTCAAAGAGCATAAAGCCCAACTTTGATGCGTTGATAAGAGATACCTTCTTTATGTCGCAGTACTTCCACCTCACTATCACAATTTCGAAGTTTTCAATGGTCGACGATATCATTATTCTGCAACGGGCAGTTGGAATTTGACAGTTTCTCACCTGCACTTACCCCCTTGAAATAGCTTCCCTTAAACTCTCACCGCAGGGATCCCTATCGTGAAAAAACTCGCTTTTGCTTGACCTCAGCTGAAGGTAGTGCGTTAATTTATCCCGGGTTTTTAGTTGGTCGAACTTGCATCCTCGCAGAAAGTTCAGTAGGTGTAAATCAGCTAGAAGCTATTACAAGTATTAGTGTTACATGTAAGTCCTTACTGAGCACTTCATCTGGAAATGATTGTGTGGCAACCCACTCTTTTATCAGCATCAAGCTGCTCTCATTATCACCTGACTCTTCCATTGGAGGTCTATCCGTGCACCAGTGAAATACTTTCCTGCATCATCAGCTCAAAGTTGCTGAGACACTATTCCAAAGGTTTATATACAAACGATAACACGCTAGTGACCTTTATTCGAACAAAAACAAAATGTGTCACCGAATCAATATCGTATGATAACAACTACTTGGCTTGGTCTAATCAAATATGTACGCAACCACACTGGATGAAGTGTTACATGACGAAATCATTTGGTGATCACTGAATCTACACGTAAACGTCTCTACCTTTGAGAGCCTGGTCAATAATGATCCTGTTGTCTTCATTAACAAACCACGCTCGTCTGTCCTTCAGTATTTTCCTTGTTCTTTCTGTAACATTTCATCTGATAACCTAAATGGCATGTAAACACTCACCCTTTAGAGTGTCAATCGATTCCCCTCTTCCTCCGTACTCTTGGGGTAGCACGTGCGAAGGGATGTGCTTTAAAATATCACCCGTGCCGCCGTTTGTATAGATTTTGATCTAAAATCATATCTGCACCTTTATTGTCGTTGATTTAGAGAACTCACCCGTGATTTAATATTTTCTGGTAGAAATGGCTTAAACATGCTAACCATGATTCCCATAACCGTGCCTGGATTAACAATGTGCACTCCTTTAATCCTTGTAGGATAGGCTTTAAACATAATATACTCTAATTCCTTAAGTAGAGAGGGGCTGAATTGCTTGATGTACCCGAAGGGTAGATTTTGGCAGTCTATAAGTACGGTGTGCCCCACCGCCATAAAGGTGGGACTTTCGTGAACAAATACGTCAAAAAGCATAAATCCCAATTTCAGCACGTTTAACAAAGGCACCTTCTTTACGTCACAGTGTTCCCATCGCAGTATAATCATTTCTGTGTCCTCGGACATCGCGAGCGAAATAATTCTGGAACCAAACAATTTGGGACGTTTCCATGACGTTCATTTACTCACCCCCTCGATAGGACATCATCGAGTTCTGCTTTCTCCGGATCTCTGCTCAGATAAATATCCCTCACATGCGCCCTTCTGGTGAAATAGTGCGATAGTTTCTCCCGGGCTTTAGCTTGGTCGAACCTGCATCCCCGTAAATAGTTCAAAAGTAACAGATCACCTGCAATTCCAATCAGTCTCGTGTACAACGCGACTTTTATTACCTGGCGTTTGGCTTAGAAAGGGTTGCTGAGTGATCCACTCCCTAATCTGTTTCAGTTCCAAATCCCTAACTTCGGCGGTTTCTCCCAGCTCCCTTTCGGCTTTCTTCTCGATTTCCTTTGTCAGACATGTCGGAAACATAACTGTAAAAAACGGGTTATCTTCACTTAGACATTGAACGCTTCAAAACGGTGCCACATTTACTTTTGCTAACTGCGATTGTTAGTAAACGTGTTAACTCGTGGTAATCTTATCGGCAGTCGATAGTCTCCGGAATTAATTAAACTACACAGTAATTATATCACTTAAAAATAACGAAATAGTACTAATGTCGTGATTTTGCATCGGTCTTAAAACATTTTCCAAAACGATACGCATGCGAAAAGGCACAGCTGTCAATTGTTGACACGTATGTTTTTAACATTTGCCGGATGTATGAGGTTGATTTAAATTTTATCAGTACGCACTTCGTACTAAATACTGTGATTCAATTTCTTTTCGTTTTACCTACTTCTACTACACCAGGCATAACTTTTGCACCTCTGAGCCTAGTGACTCCTCGTCTTCAACCATATATTATTTTATGGTTCAATTTTTTTGTGGTTATCCCTTATATAAAACCACCCCTAGCAACTCATTGAGGAAACAAACGATTGTTTAAAGAAACTACTGCCTGTTTCAACATCTGCAATAGCTGCAGTTATTCTTGCTTTTGAATATTGCAACATCCTGGTCATCACGCAGGATCTTTTATCGCACGTGCTGCTCTAGTATCTGAAGATTATAATACCATAATATCAAATAAACGATTTCAGCAGTGTTGTATATCTTCAACGTACGATAACCAGCTTTATCAGTGTAAACTTATCTCTGTTTTTTTGTCGTTATACAAAATAGCGCTTACGAAAGGTAATTATTATTTGTTGAAGAAAGATTTCAGACGATTAGCCTACTACTACTACGTCTCTCACAATGAGTGATGAAACTTCAGATGAGAAGTCCAGGAAGATCTTTATTTTTGCTTGTGCAAGTTTTTATCAGAGCCTTTTTTTTGCGTCACACCAACGATCAGTTTGCCTTTACTAGAAAAAGGTGCCAGTGGATACAGTTGGTTTACAGGGGTAGTCTACGAGTATTGGAAAAGTAATGAATTATGCGACGTTTACTCTGTTGAACTGAATTATTGTTGATATCTCTCCCCCTTTCTTACTGGCATAAATGATATTTTTGTCAAGTATGAATAATGGAACGATTATGATCTTTTTTGTACTGTTAAATTGCACAATGCACAAAAGTTAATCAAAGCTTAACGGAGCTGATAACATTTGTTTCGATAAAAAAATGACATTTGCCTTGATTAAATTAGTTAATTTAACGGAGCTGTTAAACCCAGATTAAGCTAAAATTCGTATGCAGAAAAAACAATCAGCATTAACGGCGCCGTCAAGCAGCCTCTAATCACGGCAAAATTTAACCGGTGCTCGTCGGTTGATTAAAGTGACAGTTCGTTCGTAGTTTTCGATTTGAGCTTGTGAAAAGTAATTTTTATAGAATAATTAGGCCTATTCTAATAGTTTTTAACATCATTTCATTTAAATAGAAAAGATATTCATTTTTTTAATTGACTCGTGTAAACGCGTTTTCTAAAATTCTTCTCCATGAGCAGAGTGGAGTATTCCAGTCGAGCATTCTTCCACTTTTGAAGGTGGTAGTTTATTTTAAATTGCTGAACTGACCTCTTTGGATTTGATGTTTCAGAAATGCGGAAGTATCTGAGAGCTCGTCACTCTGGATTCTAGTTTATATGTTCCTTATTAAATTGGAAAAAAATTAGTATTCGGAATTGATATTATAAGACATGCAGCATCGAGAGGTCTAAGGTGAGAAACTTTATCAGGAAGCAGTGCTTAATTTATGATATTTTAGCTACTGTAATAAATTATTCTAGCAGTTAAAAATATATGTTGGAATAAGCTCCACTTTCAATAAAATTAAGCACTCAATGGCAGTTTAACCGGAACTTTTGTTGAACGAACCTAGGACAGTCACTAAGATACTATAAGAAGGTAATATTTGCTTATGATTCAATCAATTATTTGCAGTAAATGTTCTCTTTGTACTTCGGTAAAGTTTTAGCCATGGATCTTTTTTTCCGTTGTCAACACAAACATATAAAGTGACTATTACATTTAACAGGCCACAAAAAGAAAAGCTTTCTATACGATCCAAGAAGTAGGCTTTGTAAAAAAAATCACACATTTCCATAACAGTACAACGTTGCCGGTGCCAATTTTTACCAAATATTTAATCAATGCTTAATCACCTTGGTTAGTTAATCAAGAAATTTTTTTGTTTTGTGCATACCAATTGAACTTAATCAAAGGTTTAATTTAATCATACCAATTCTAACGACCTGATTATTCGGCCCATATAGTCACTTGCTTTATGTTGAATTTTAAAGTTGTCCTTTTCACTGGGTGGATCGCCTGCTTTAACTTTGCACAAATCAAAATTAAAAGGCTGTGGTTTGTTGTAAATGCAACAAAATGATTGGGCTTTTACCGATCATTCTTTTGTTTGAAGCTTTCACAAACGCGTGTAACATAGGGTATGCTGCCAAATCTGTTCCATTTCTTAACCGTTTTTTTTGAACGAATGCACCAAAGGATAGAAGATTTAAATACCTTTGACATTTCGTTCATATATGGCAGCATTATCGATGCATAGACTTTGTTCTTTATTGTGCTTTATTGGAGTTGGATTTTGCATCTACCAACTTTTTTCTGCTTTTTCAACAAGCCATTGAATGGGGAATAGACGGTGCATTTTGTAAGAAAACGTCAAGTGACTATCGTGAAATTAAGAATAAGCAGCCCGCTTGCTTAGTAGTGATGTTAAATTACACGTTTTTTTTAAAGTGCGTAATATTACGTGTAAAATTACGAATTGTTTATGTTTTTTATGTATTTTATGTAATTTATGTAACTTACCATTTTTAAAAAAAAAAACCGTAATTTTACAGTAAAATTACCAGTAATGTATGTTTTTTATGTAATTTACAAATATTTTTGTAAAATTACCTGTCATTTATGTTTTTTATGTTTTTTTTCAATATTGTATAAACCTTTTTGAATTTTGTGAGTGTTTGAAAATAAAAACACTTGTTAAATTATATATTTTGGTGTATTAAATAAAATACCCAAGCAGTAGGTATTTCGCCATCACGCGTCGTTTGGAGGAAGAAGCTCCAGATCGCGAATTAGAGGCTGTATCATCTTCATTAAACCAAACTAAATTCAACGGTCAATCGTTTACGTTGGTAGTACCGTTGATGGTCTGTGGTAGTACCGATCAAAATGTTATGTAACTTACAAAAATTACGGTTTTTTAAATTAAAAACGTGTTACGTAAGTTTCATAAAAGACATAAATTACATAAAAAAACCGGCCTCTTGTAAGTTACGCGTAATATAACCGTTTTTTATGTAACTTACAAATCGTTTTTTACAATCCACATCACTAGTAGAAACCAATTTCGAAAAAAATTCAAAGGGCTGTAACTTGTGAACTAGTAGCCCAATCTTGGAACTGTTTGAAATTATGGATTCTACAGGCCACATTCTATAAGAAAATTTTTTTCCGGGTCGATCCGAGACAATTTTTTTTTCGGGGCTCAAAAAAAGGCAGTGTATAACCTTCCTTTTTTACCAAAAATCGACTACAACAAAATTTCTCGGGAAAACACTTTTTCTTATTAATTTTGGTGCGTAGAATCCAAAACAATTCGTACTTTTTCGATCAAACTTCTCAATCAAAAGTTATAGACTAGAAACCAATTTCGAAAAAAAATTCAAAGGGCTGTAACTTTTGAACTAGTACCCCAATCTTGGAACTGTTTGAAATTATGGATTCTACAGGCCACATTCTATAAGAAAATTTTTTTTCCGGGTCGATCTGAGACAATTTTTTTCTCGGGGCTCAAAAACAGGCAGTGTATAACCTTCCTTTTTTACCAAAAATCGACTACACCAAAATTTCTCGGGAAAACACTTTTTCTTATTAATTTTGGTGCGTAGAATCCAAAACAATTCGTACCTTTTCGATCAGACTTCTCAATCAAAAGTTATAGACTAGAAACCAATTTCGAAAGAAAATTCAAAGGGCTGTAACTTTTGAACTAGTAGCCCAATCTTGGAACTGCTTGAAATTATAGAATCTACAGGCCACATTCTATAAGAAAATTTTTTTTTCCGGGTCGATCTGAGACAATTTCTTTTGCGGGCCTCAAAAAAAGGCAGTGTATAACCTTCCTTTTTACCAAAAATCGACTACACCAAAATTTCTCGGAAAAACACTTTTTCTTATTAATTTTGGTGCGTAGAATCCAAAACAATTCGTACTTTTTCGATCAGACTTCTCAATTAAAAGTTATAGACTAGAAACCAATTTCGAAAAAAAATTCAAAGGGCTGTAACTTTTGAACTAGTAGCCCAATCTTGGAACTGTTTGAAATTATGATTCTACAGGCCACATTCTATAAGAAAATTTCTTTTCCGGGTCGATCTGAGACAATTTTTTTTCGGGGCTCAAAAAAAGGCAGTGTATAACCTTCCTTTTTTTACCAAAAATCAAAAGTCTCATCTTCATTAAACCAAACTAAATTCAACGGTGAATCGTTTACGTTGGTAGTACCGTTGATGGTCTGTGGTAGTACTGATCAAGATGTATCAAATAGTTATGTAACTTACAAAAATTACGGTTTTTTAAATAAAAAACGTAAGTTACGTAAGTTTCATAAAAGACATAAATTACATAAAAAACCGGCCTCTTGTAAGTTACCCGTAATATAACCGTTTTTTATGTAACTTACAAATCGTTATTTTACAATCCACATCACTATTGCTTAGACATACAGAGTGGCCCAACGAGAAGTATACAGAGGGCTTTTAGGGTATTAAATTTAGAAATTACGAAAAATCCTCGAACACGTCAATTTTGTATTCGAGGGGGACAACTTTTGGAATACAAATCACGAACCCAAGTCTTCACCCCTCTACGTAGGGAGCTTAACCCCTAAAATTTTAAACGGAATCCTATGGCAAATGGCATATTATTTGAAAGCCAATTTAATCGTGATTACTAATCTGCTTTGCTTTTTAAATTCTATTAATTCGTTTCGGAGATATTCGCATTTGAAATGGTTTTTTTCCCCTGATTTAAGTCCTTTAGATTACTTCTTGTGGGGATATTTAAATAATAGAGTTTATGCTACTCCGCCCGGAACATTACAAGGGTTGCGAGCACGTATCACCATAGTGTAAGAATAGAATACACTATGGTATAACTAAACAATTTCGAGCGATTACCCCTGAAATCTTGCAACATGTACGGCAGCATTTTGAAGCAAATCTTTATTATTCCATGGAAGCAGGCGGAAGGCAATTCGAGCATTTATTGAAATAAATGTTGTCTGTTTAAAGTTATTTGTTATTTTTTGCACAATTTAAACCTTTTTTAATACAAGGGGACTTAGATCGCATTTGTTTTTGTTTTTTTTAGAAAAAACCATTTCAAATGCGAATATCTCCGAAACGAATCAATAGAATTTAAAAAGCAAAGCAGATTAGTAATCACGATTAAATTGGCTTTCAAATAATGTGCCATTTGCCATAGGATTCTATTTAAAATTTTAGGGGTTAAGCTCCCTACGTAGAGGGGTGAAGACTTGGGTTCGTGATTTGTATTCCAAAAGTTGTCCCCCTCGAATATAAAATTGACGTGTTCGAGGATTTTTCGAAATTTATAAATTTAATATCCTAAAAGCCTTCTGTATACTTCTCGTTGGGCCACTCTGTATATTCGAGTGTAACGTCAATATGATTATATTTTATTTCCCTTATTTTTATATTATTTTGCATGTATCGTACAATAGACTTTTTTAATGTTCATAAAAGTTTCTATTATTTTTCCCATAAGTTTCCTTATTTATGTACGAAATAAATAATAGCTTTAATTCCTTATTCATGAATACACAATACCCTTTGAGTAAATGTAACAAAGTTACAAGGCGTACGATCAGCTCAGCCACAGTGGTTAGACAGTCGTGCTTTTAACGTTTTAGTATTCTTCCATCCAAAATCCATTAGAAAATGTCCCACTCGATTAGTAAATGCCATTTGTTGCTTTGATTTGGACCTTTTTGTACTCTACAGTTTAAAATCTATTAGAAAATGTCTTTTTCGATCAACACTCTGCTTTTTTTAACCATTTTTTATTTTTTTGCTGCAGCGGTTTTCTATTTTGACCTCGAGGAGGAAACTGCATACAAATTTCTTATCTAATCATTGCCAATTTTAGTTTTTTTTAGTGTTTTCCAAATTAGTTTGGTGATTATATCATTAATGGCCGTTTGCACCGACAAATTTAAGCGGAGCTTAGCTTAAGCGTGGCCTAAAATCCATGGCAACGATTATTGAGACAATGGTTGCTCTGCCTCGGTCGTGGAAACTCAAATTTCCTGACAGAAATTAGGCATGAAAATAGAGGTTTCGGGACGATTTTGGGTAAAATAAATTATGGTCATTATTAGTAACCTGGGAAAGGTAGTAGATTTTCGTTTAACGATTTGTGCTGGTGCTGCCAAATGCGCCTCCAGCCTGGGGGTCGTTTCCACGTCATCTCAGGGATGGAAATTGTTGTTATAAATTGATCATATAGCAATAGATGAAATATTAATTCCAAGCAAAAAGTTTTCTAAACATTTTCTTATATACCTAATACTTTTCGAGTTATTCGCGACCGAAAGTTTCATTTTTCCGTAAAAATGTTTCTAATTGGTTATTAGCGAGAAGCTCGGAATTTTATAAGGAAATTGTGTAGAATAAAATTGGAACTTTTAAGAAACAAAAAAAATGGTCTCAATTACTGTATGACCAATTATACGAACCGAACAATGACTCGTTAAAAGTTAGCCTTTCTTCGTCCAACGTTAAATTATAGTGCTTTACAGTCAAATAAATCGAAAACTATACATTTTTCGAATAAAACCTACAGAATCTTGTTTTAAGTATTAAAACAAATCTTTCTTTAAAAAAATGTCTGTAACGCAAAAATTGAGCTAAAAGTAAGAAAAGAATTTCTGCAATGTTATGAAAAACGTTCTTTTCTTCAAAATAACTCGAACACTACTGGAGATACGCAAAAAATTCTACAGTAGCAAATTATAGCGTTTTTAATTCAAAAACGTATTTAATTTAATCTTGATCACCGTCCTTAGCTTACATTTATAACAAAGTTTTAAGAATTTTAAAATCTGCATTCGTTCCCGCGTGATATCGCGGTGTTCCATTCATTTCTGAACACTCTGTATGGTTTTATAGGTTTTGACGAAAAGGAGTAGTTTTCTCCCCTTAAAAAATCGAGAGCGTTATCGGAATAATATAGATTTTGAAGAGACGGGAAGTTGAATTTGTGTGCAAATCACTGCATTTAAAAAAATTGCTAGGTTTTGTACAATTTTAAGCACTATTGTTCCTTTTTATATTTTGTAACCTTAATAATATTTTCACCTAAAATTTCACCACCTTTTGGCTTGGAAACTGAAATTTAATTTTTATCCTAAATCATACGACTGTTATTAAATTTGAGAGTGTTGAAAATCATTTTTTCCATACAATTAAAATATCTGGATACTTAGCAGCGCATTTTTCCACAAGTGAACAGCTTAGAGATTTCCTCCCGGTACATACATTAAAAAGAGTTTATTTCGCTTTAGTGGAATCTCACATCTCGTATGGTATAACTGCCTGGGGTGGAGCTCTAAAAACCGTTATAAAACCGCTGGAAATAGTACAAAAAAGCATAATCAAAATTATTTATAAAAAGACCGCCAGGCACAACTCGGACGACCTATACAGACATTCAGAGATCCTTGACATTAGGCAAATTTATGCAAATATAGTGCTCGAAAAATGTATTGACAACAATTCTCTAAGGCTCATGAAAAGTAACCATTCACATGATACAAGACAGAAGCAGCTTGGGGAGTGTTAAATTATCCGTGTGTACGAAAAGGTGTGGGTCAAAGGAGTTACGAATATTTGGCAATTCGATTTTATAACAAAATGCCATTTTATTTGAGGTCGTGTACATCTAATAGAAATTTCAAAAAAGGTTTAAAGGAGTGGCTATTATCGTATCCCAGGTCAGCAATCCATCAAATGTTTGGGTAAAAAAAAAAAAATAAAATAAAAAAAAAATAAAAAAAAATATGCATGTAATAGGATATCCATGGATCCCTCCAGTTCCTCCCCTTCCGCTAATATAATACATATAGTTTTTGTTTGTATAGATGTAATTCATTTTTTCTTTAAAGTTTTGTTAATATAACGGAGACCACAGCAACTTTAATTTCTTAATTTCAAGGTGCAGACAAGCGTTTGCTTACGCATCTTGGGCATGATGTAATTCACTCATATGTAAATATTTATGTACTTATATTTTCAATTTTTCAAATTTTTTTTTCAACTTTAAATGCCCCCCACCCCTACCCAAAGCTTAACCTTAACGCTCGGCACCACGAGACATTTTAAGGGAAAACTATTCTCAATGCCATTAATTGATTCTCTTAATTTTGCCCCAAGTAACTGGAGTCTATTTACTCTATGCTTGAGTCGACCCAAATCTCCCCAATCCACCTTTTAGATTTTCCCAAAATTTCTGTCTTAACTTCCTGAGAATTTCCTCAGGAATTCCTCTCATTTCTTCAAAAAATGCATACATGCTCACACAATTTCCTCAATTGTGTCATATATCTCCCAAAATTTCTATAAGCAGAACCACAATTTGCCCACCGCCATCTTTAATTTTAGTTTAAAAAATCCACGCACATTTTACTCCATGCGGTATTTAATGGTTTTCTTTAATTGAAATTATAATCGAATTCGCCTACAAAGGGAAGCCAATCTAATTTTTGCAATAATTTACATTTTATTGTAATACAAAATCCTGGTTCTGCGGTTTGCAGCGACACATAAGCAGCACATAATCCTTTTGTGGGAAAAATCAAGTTTTAAACCATTTCCCCTCTCCATATTTTATTGCAGTAACCAAAATCTATTAGTAAACATATTTTCCTTGTTGATATTTGTCAACCTCTTTTTCCCTCGTCAAGACTCCTTGCTATCTTTCAGCCTTACTTTTGGTTGCAGTGATTAGATCGTTACAAACTCAGAAGGGACAATCCACTGTGAAATTCTGGTGTACAACCTCTTGGAATACATTGAAATTTTTTGGATATCATGGAATTCATGGAATTATTTTGCAATTCTCATGAAATTATTTTGGAGTTCATGGAAATTATGATTCAGTTTTGGAAGTCTGATGGAATTTGTTTGGAATTATGTTACATTTTTGAGAAAAAATGAATGAAAGAGAAGAAATAAGCCTTTTAATGACGTACAAGACTTGTTGCTACTAAAAAAATTCAAGATTGCAACCTCTGTGAAATAATTTCAAATAGAAGCGTTCTAATTTTCATATAACCTCAAACGGTTTGAATGTGGGAGCTTTGGTTCCACGGGTAATAGCGACCTTGTATTTTTTTCATACATAAATTTGATTTTAGACAGATAAACAAATTGCGACTTGAATAAATTATTTTTGTTTAGTAATAACTGTGTTACGGTACGATGTGGGGGACATATAATTTCCTCTTTTAGCTGAGGCTCATTTCTAATCTTCAAATCCAGTCTGCCATTTTTGACCAGGAAGCTTAAAATTAATCTACAATTTTTGAGAGTAGGTATATTTAGAGAGAGTTGGATTTGTTTTGTTTTCGTTTATAATTCATTTCGCAGATAATAAATTGAGACTAATGCCCGGTTCACAAACGATGATAAAGGTTAATCACTGATTAAAAATATTAGATTGGGAAGCAAATGAGCGTATAATCAAAGGTGGATGACTATCTAATATTTTTGAGCATTGATTAACTTTATTCATCGTTTGTGAAACCGGGCATAAGGCGGTCTAAAACAACGAGTACTTTGACCCTCTCAAGTAATCTATAGTCATTCGTATAACATTATTTTGTTGTGTCGAGATAATCACTTAGTGGCTGCATGGTATGCGTTTCGCCTTTGAACTGCGTTTACTTGTAAACTTACGTGTGATATGACGTGTAGGATTTTCAATGGAATTATATTTCCCTCGGTGCAATTCTGCCACAACTGTAATGTTATTGTGAACTTGACACTTAATTTGGTGAGACACTAATCCAAGAACTTTTCGCACTTGTTTTGAACTACTTAACGTGGCCACTTTATTTTTCTTCAGAAATGAATCCCAGTTTAGCAGCTAAAGTTCACAAATTAAGGTTTGCATAAATTATACAAGAAACTAGGGTTTACCAACCTTTCTCCTCAATCTCAGAAATTTCCTTAACGTTTATTTCTACATAATCTTACAAATACAATTATTGTTAAATAAATAAGTACACTAAATCACAACTTCGTCAATTTATAATTAGCTGGTTAACGTAATCATCTTTATCACTGGTGTTATCTTCTTGATTGACAAACCAATGCCTACGTTCCTCTACCATCCTCTTAGTTGTCTCGGTTAATGAATCTATCGAAGTGGCTTCACCCCCATAGTCTCTTGGTAACTCGGACAACGGGAAGTCCGTATACAGACGGTTGGCGTTACTGCTGCTATAAAATCGTACCTAGAATGGGTGTTTGAGTTTGGGCTTTCTAGAATGAGCACTTACCCTTGACACAATTTTCAATGGAATAAAGGGTTTGAACATGCTAAATATGAGGCCCATAAAAGGGATACAATTAATGATGTGAACTGCTCTAATTCTGATTGGGTATGCCTTCCAAATTATGCGAAATATCTCCTTTACTAAGCTTGGAGATACCTGCCTTATGTACCCAAACGGAAGGTTGGTGCAGTCAATGATGATTGTATGACCACTAATCATAACGGTCGGACTCTCGTTAATTAACACCTCGAAAGCCATTAGACCGACTTTAATCACATTTACCAAGGAAACCTTTTTCGTGTCGCAATTTTCCCATCGAATTAGGAGCGTCTCATAGTTCTCCGAAGATAAAAACAGCAACATTCTACAACACTAATTAGAAATAAGCCTCTTCCCTTGCACTCTACTAACCCTTTCGACAGGACCTCCCTCAGTTCGTCACTGTACGGGTCTCTATCGCTCATCAAAACATCGCTTTTACTCGATTTGGAAGAGAGGTAGTGAAACAGCTTGTCGCGAGTTCTCTCCTGTGCGAATTTGCACCCGCGCAAAAAGTTCAGCAGTCCCAATTCACCTAAAACGAAAATTAAGCGTTTGCAACCCCCAAGATGCGCGCTTACTCAAACAATCGTGCTGCAGATTCTGCTCCCTTAACCACTCCTTAATTTCCCTCAAACCATTCTCTCTGATTTCCGGTGTTTCGCCGAGCTCTCTCTTCGCCCTCTCTTCTATTTCTGTCGACTCGATCATACTCTCTAGGAAGCGCGATTCTATTGAATGAAAATGTAAGTTTGAAGAAAGATAAGCTTATTTTTAAACAACGATAATATCACTGTCGTCTTTTGACGCAGATATTTCGATTCTCGAAATTTGATTTGAAAGGGTAATCTTTTGGCACGATTGGGCAATGCACATTAATCGATTGCAAACTACGCACTACAATCATTTGAGCTACTTATATTACGTTCATAATTCATTACGGTCGTAGCACTGCATATTATTGTTTTGTTTCAGTACAATGGATATTGTGTGATCTTTGTGACGCACTTATCTGCGATTTCTCACCACAACTTACTGGTTTTCTTGGGGGAGGTTTTTCTCACCGCCAGTTTCTTAAGTTGAAGGTTAGGAACATCAGTTTTCTAGTTGTTTATATTGCACATTGACCCAGTTGGTTATCGCATCTGTTTTCTCGTGTGTTATCACAGACGCCGCTGATCTAAAAAAGACCAGAACGAGTTTCTTTCTTTTGGAATTTCCTTTGTCTTCTGATCAGGGCTCGTAATGGACCGGAACGAGCCGGAACACCGTTCCGGTTGGTAAAAAATATTACAATACCGTTCCGTTTCGTGGAAAATTGTTGTACATCGTTCCTTTTCGTAGAGGGAAACGATTATACGTCCTCCAGATCATACCAGCACACGGAACCCAGCAATATCCGTTTGTCTCTACACAAAGGGAAACAATAAAAATGAAACATTTAATTTTTGTTACGTTTTATCGTTGTTTTTATGGACTTAGGTACTATGTTTTCTATGTTACCCCCCCCCCCCCCCGCCCTCCTCGTGATGGAGGTTCCGGTCCGCGAAAATGTCCATTCCGAGAGAAGTCGACACAGCAATTTTGACTTACGCGAAAATCGTGTGTAAATTAAGGAAGTCGGTAAAGTTCTACAAGTTGGTTGCTTGATCTCTTCTTAATTATGTATAATTTAAGCTCCTCGCGAAGCTTTAGTACTTTCGCGAGACAGTGCAGCGTTCCGAAACAAAACAGTTACAACTAGGGTACATCCAGAAGTTATGCTTCAGAACATTTCGAAACCTCACACGTTACGAAAATTAAAACCATCTCGTTGCATATACGTGACGGGTTTAAATTAAAACTTATGGGATGTCGAAAAGGGTAATCCGGTAATATTTTCGTTTGCGTAAAGCCCTGTCTAACACACACACTCAATTATATAGGGATCATTCGTAAATATAGTTTCAGAATCCCCTTAAGATCGTGGCACTTCAACTTACTTGATGCGATGCTAAAATCTCGAGTTTCGAGATCATCCCTTACTCTCGTGCAACTTCATGAATTCCTTAGAAACTTTCCAAGTTGCTTTTACATCAAGTTAAAAATGGATCGAGTGTATACAAGTGGGCTTCCCGAGAAGTGAATAAGATAGTTGTCTTTTTGTTTAACAGCGTATAGGTCCTTGTGGTTGCACAAAAGTTTCGTGCAGTATTGATGACACGTGCCCATGTTTTGGGATTTTAATACATTTCAAAATGGTTTATCAAGGACTTAGTTGCCGTCCGCATTTTTAAATTAATCCCGAATACGTACACGATGTTGTTTGGGTTTTTTGTTCTTTCTATTATAACGTAATTCTACTTTTCGTACAAAATATTGGAATGTTTTTTTGATCTCCATTAATTGTTTCGGCAGTCTACATCAACAAAAGCTGTCATGCGTTCTTAATCCGCAGAATTTTGTTAGTAAACGCGATTTCAAATAAAGAATTTGTATCATGAGGATTAGTTTTAACGGCATAGGGCATGTGTTACCTACAAAGAAAATTTAAACCTCGCCCTTACCCTTCTATTTCACATGCCCCGTTTCACAACGAGGATTAAGGTTAATCAATGATTAAAAATATAATAATGTTAGCCACCCTTGTTTATAAGGTGAAATCTTTCCCATTCCCAATGAGTAAACAGGGTAATGTGCTTGTTATATTTACAAGAGTCGAAGACCATAAAAACTAGGTAAACAATAAAATTAGTTTTCAAATCATCTTGGTCTGCTTTAATCTTCTTTTCTAATTCAATCTGTTTTCATCTGACCTTCTTCTACTTCTTCTATATTGTTTTCCATTTTATCTTGGTCTTCTTGTACTTCTCGGATAAGCATCGCGATCATGTTGGTTATTTGCTGCATCCCCGCTTGTCGCTTACTGTCTCGTAACTTCCGTATTTTGACTTTAATCTTAGTAACTTGACTTTTCAATTGAAATCTCCCTGTTTAACAAAACTAAATTAGATGTCATCCAGAGAAGTGAGCTCAGTTCTCGGATCCATAAACCTTCAAAGCAAGAAACTGACCAAAGCCTGAAGGGCCTCGACTTACTCGTAGTAAGCTTCTATCACAAGTACGATAATAACTCGGCCAACCTTTCCACGCGGAAGTGGGGGGGCTACCATAACATTCGCGTATAAAACTCGACCAAAACCAAACCCGAGTTCAGGTGCTGGTACTGAAGGTTACAAGTTAATTGAATGCAATAGCTTATAACCTTGAAGGGGCAAACTAATGACCAATTGTTCCGCCAGTTTCATGGTTAACGATCAAATCTTTGATATCAAATCTGGTGCCAATGACCCAAATTCAGCAAATGGCAGCTGAATATCAGCAGGCCTGTAGATATGTCAAAAGATGGCAACCGACAGAATGGTAGGTACTTAAAGCGTTTCCGAACGGAAGCTGGTCCGTAAACTGATACTATAAATTAAAACTTGACTTTGAACCATACAATTAAAACTTGACTCTGAACCCTACAATTAAAACTATACTTGAACCCTACGAGAAAATCAAAGATAACCCTGTTCGTTGATAACCGAAAGTGTTTAAATAAGAAGGTCAATTATAGATGGATGTGCAACAATCATGCAATCGTCCATAGAAATTATGTTATGGCAATTATCAGTCGAAATCTAAAGAAAGGTACGCAAAAGCCAGAGGAGACGCAATTATATCCTCCCGATATAGGAGTCAAGGAAAAATCCCTCCATGAACCAATGCGGAATCCCCAATTAAACGAATTTTCTCTCCAAATATTGAAAAATTATGGATGGCGGCAAATTAAATTCCACGGGTTGTGCTCAGTTATACGAGGTGCACTCTCTTAGATCTCGCAAACGGAAAAAAAGAGGAATGTACCAACGCGCGCTAAAATTGCGTGGTTAGAATTCCAACGACAAATGCGGTTATCTCATCCAGGGTTACGACTGTTACGAAGATCTTTCAAGATGTAAATATTGGTTGCTTTGTAGTGAAGAAAATAAACTGTTACGCCCACTCCAATCATTCAAAAGTAACACAAACTAACTCCCCACCCTTAACTTACTTCGATAGCAGCCAAGAAACCAAGGTTACACGGAGTTTCAAAATAACTAGATCAGGTTCGTGGTCACGGTCTTTGTGAATTCCCCCTAACTTGAATGTCCTAACAACAATATACTACCCCATTTTTTATACACAAATTACGCTATTAATAATCATAATGGACCCATGAATTTGGAGATTGCATTGCTTGAATTTTGAACAAACTAACTTTAATTGAGAAACTTTTTTTCAAATTCAATTGCAATGGGTTCCTAAATGGTAAGAATACATGCAATACAAACGGCCTGAAATTTTAGGAAAACAGATAACATTTATTAATACATTTTAAACCTTGTTGAGCGTTGGGCTATAGATCCGCAGGTCGGGTGTTCGAACCTGGGTTGAGGTGAATTTTTTATCTGTGGCAGAGATGGGAATTACCTTATACCATTTAAAACGGAATTATGTGCATTTTTTATCATTTTAAAGAAACCCAAAGAAATCTTTAGCAGTTTTTAAGGTAGCGAGGTGAGCCGGCATAGCCGCTAAAATTATGCAAACTGGAAATCTGATGGAATTTTTTTGGAATCCTGGAATTGTTTTACACCTTAGCGGTGTAAGTACAGATCTTTCCTCGATACTCCCGCGTTCAAAGATAGGGATTATTTTCCAAAACTTTCACGGATCAATTCCCTCGAGACTCTCTCAGAGAATGAATTTACTTTTTTACTATTTCTTGCTCTTACTATGAACCGCGCACTATTCGCCTCGGGGGGTCAAACGCGACTGAACGCAAAATCTTCTAGAATAACCCCTACTTAATTGCTGACTAATTCACGCACTTTTCAAGATGGCTTCTAGTAGTTCAGTAAACCAATTTTCGCTACTGGCCAATCAGAGTTGCACGTATACTACCTCTCCCTGAATTTTTGCAAATTCCGATTTCGAGAACTAATTTGAGGCGACCGCGTATACAGGCTGATTCAAGTTCTAGGGTCACCTTGGGGTCTCGGGAACTGTAAGAGCTAGGTAGGTAGTTTAATTTTGGAAAAGTTGCAATATTGTTCCAATATTTTCTTTTTTGCCTAAAAAAGTTTGTCTTGGGTTAGTGTACGTACCTATAAGTTTCTCACGTTTTTACAAATTAATATCGCTATTTCTGATTAAAACAATTTTACATTTTTGATATCAAAAAAAATTCTCGATCAAATGGCACAAAAACTAAAACTTTCATAAAAAAAAATTGGATGATGGTTAACCGGAGACGAAACGTTAAAATTTAAAACTAGCAACTAGTAAAGGGAAAAAAGTGGGCATAATAATCTGTCATTTATTTTGAAATACGTTTTTAAATAACTTGGGTAAAAAATAAAAATGATTTCGTAAAATTTCGTTTTATTCAAGATATCTCCGAAAGTATAGGAATTTTTTCAGTTTCAAAAGTGCATTTTGTTAAGTGTCAAAATACGCAAAACCTGAACTGTTCGAACCTCGGTTCGAACGTTAAAAAAATTCCGAAAAATCCCAACTTTACATATCTCAATAAAATTCGAAAATATAATCCAAATTTAAAGGTTATCGTTACAAGTTTAAACTAGAATTTCGAGCATCATCTTCTTACTTATGTCTGAAACAATTTTTAATTTCAAACATAAGCATTGTACTTCCATTTCACCGTCAAGATACAAAAGCAACCACCACCTTCAAGCTGCTCCTTTGAAATTCGACTTTAACCTGCTCCTTGAAGATTCAACAGTGTTAAAGTTCTAACATTCAACTTTAATCAGAGATTTCAACTTCCAGGCTAGCCTTCAGCTCTTCGGTGTACATTTTAAATATTGAAATTGTACATTCGCATTCCATTTAATAGGATGTATGAACGCGCTCGATCAGAGCGCCACCAATTAGAAACTAATGCAATTTTCGGTGTTCAGGTAAATTACACAAGCTTACTCCTACTAAAGCACAGGCTTGTGTTGTTTCCGTTCAATTGATTCTTTGTCAAATTTTCAATTCGAAAGTTTTATTTGTCCCCTCCAAAGTTGACGCATAAATCTTACGTCGTACTTATATTAAACCACATAAAAATGATATACTCGTCCGATTATAAACTGACGTAACCCAACTTTCGAA